TCCTTCTGATAAATTTTAGAGGTGTTGTTTAGACCTCAAAAAAAAAAAAAAAAAACAACAAGCAGCTGAGTGTTTCTGTCTAGCACTAGTTTGTATTGTTAAAGTTCTACTCCAGACAAAACAAATGCTTATGAAACATTTGCATTAGCCTGATCTAATGAATGTATACAGCAAAAAACAGTGAAATTGTTTTTTAGGAGAATGCAAGTGTGATACCGTGGAACATCAGGTGAAGGTAACTTTAAACTTGCTGAGTGCAGACTCTGATTGTAAGTTTTGAGAAGCTTGCACTGACAATTTCTTGTGAAGGAACTGATTTCTCAAACCTGTTTTGTCCTATATCCCAAGCATCAGATCTGTTAAATCTTGTCAGTTGTCATTTCTGTGAAGCATTTGGTTTCTTCTATCCTTATTTGACTTCCTGCAGGCATTTGTGACAGATTTTATTTGAGGGATAATCTGTGCGAAGACCTGCTATGTTTTTTCACTTGATTCCTTAAACTATCATGTGAATACATAGGAGAGGAACTAATTTTTTGTCAGATGCAAGTTACTGAGCTGATGGATAGACTGAGCAAAAAGCAGCTTATTAGCTAACATTTTCTTAAGCATAGTAGTAAGCTTCTGAGAAATCAGGAAGTCTGTATACCTAAAACAATTTTGGAAACATTGCTTTTAACAGCACGAGTCTCTTAAATCTTAAATTCTAGAAGGCTAATCAGAACTTTATTGTATTAATTTCCAAATTATATTTTCTGCTTTAAAAGAAAACCAAAATAATTAAAAAAACACAGAGTAATTGGTTAAATTTTTTACTCCCTCTGCATTTCTTGTTTTTCATTGCTGTTTTTGAGATGGAGTGGCAGAATCCCAGTGGAAAGAATGTACTACATTGTTGTGCAAGCTGATGTGAGTTATTGTCTTCTCAGTACTTGTCCAACTAGCTGGCTGTTCATTGCATCATGTCTGAGATCATTTATACTTCTCAGTAATAAAAGCACATCTTAATTTTGTTGTAATCATCACTGCAGTGAGAATAAAACTGCTCAAAGTACTGATTAAAGATGAATTTATATCAATCACAATTGTGACTGAATTTTTTGTCTACTGATTTATATTGGGATGCTGTGTGAGTTCATTTGTAAACTGTGCTTTTTTTTCCTAGTTTGATATAATTATGCAAGAGCAAGAGGTTTTGAACTCTCCGTTTCCATTTTGGTGTGCCAGTGAGCAGTTCGTTTGCGGGGCATAGTGCTTTTCAAATACAATATTTAATAGTAGTTTTTATCATCTTCAGGCTGCTTCAACTATTAAAACTTGTTAGACCTGTAGAATTGGCAGGGTTTTCCAGAAGGAACTCAGGCAGTCCCTGTCCAGCCATCAGCTTGAAGTGGGGCAATCATCACTGCTGGGTCAAGTTAGTTTGGCTTCATCTGCATCCTGGAAGTCTCCTCAGTTTTCTCAGGCAAATTGATCCTGGTTTATCTCAAAACGTTTGTTGTAAAGGTTCAGAACAAAAGTAGTTTGAGATTTAAGGTAAGAAATTTACTGTTACACTGATCTGTGTGTTTTGTTTTCAGCAAAAATATTTCAAAGCTCATAAAACTAGTTTGGAGGGGGCGCTGTTCTTACAAGAATCAAGTATTGCAAATCCTTCTAATTGGAGGCGAGTAGCTGTGTCACTGTCTAGATTTTATGCGAAGCTTTTGCTAACAAATAGCTCTGGAAGTTACTCTTTGCATGGGCTCTATGTATGACTGATTGGTTTTGGTATGTGGTTGTTTTGTGACTTGGAGTGGTGCTACGTACATTTAACACCAAGTAGTGTTTATGTAAACCAAGGCTTTGGGTTTGAGAGAAGATGGGAGGGAGGTAAAACTCACTTGAAAATTACCTATGCTGAGGGATATCTGCTTCAAGAACTAACAGATCAACATAGATGAAGTATTGTAAACAGTTTCTGAAGCCTGTTAAGGTGATTCTGGAGCTCCCTCTGTATCCTGCAGGGATTGCAGGGAGTTGGGCTCTGTTCTGTATCAAGGATGATTTGGCCAGGCATGAGAGACAGGAAACTGAAATCTAGTTATTTGATTGTTATGTGAATATCCTTTTACTAGAAAAGTGAATTTGTTTTTCTTTATGCCTATTTGTTTTTCTAGCTGTGTCTGACTGAAAGTGTCCTTTTTGCTCCTTCACCTTTTCAGAACTTAGCAACATCCTTAAAGACTATTAAAGGCTTCAGTCTCCAAAGCTTTTAACCTGGATGCTCTCCTAAGCAGAATTTGTCTAACCAGAACCACCCAGACCAGTGATAGACTTCAACCTCTAAAAACAGCACCATCCCAGAGGGGGTTTTGGGTTTGCCTCTGAAAAATGGTCTTAATCGTATCATAAAGTAACACCCTAGGCAAGAAAGTGAGAACTATTAAATCCAAACATTCTCAGGGAGGGGAGGAATCTAAATGCTGTCTACTCTGATTCTGAGATTTAAGGCTTGTGCACAGTCACAGAGCTGTGACTGTAAAATCCTGGGGCTCTCTGGTGCTGTGGGGTTTTAAAGTCAGATGGTATTTGACTTGATCAGATCCAGAGCAAAAAGATCTTTTGTGTGGATATAAACTCATGGAGATCACTCATTTGAATTTGAGAAACACAGTGCTATATAAGTATGGAGTTGTGGTTTTGATGATGAGCATTTCTAGAACCAAAACCAAGAAACCACTCTGATTTATCGTGGAAATGAGAGGGAGCAGAGCGTTGATGTTTGGATACAAACCACTGGAAGGTGAGAAGTAGTTACTGTGTATGAAGTATGTTTAATGATTGCAGTCCTTAATAGCAAACACTGGCCATATATGACATATCCTGTTCTTATACAATGCATCTATATACACATTTACATAAGACTGAAAAGGCACTAGAGTTTCCAAAATAGAACACAGGTCATTTCACAATGTGAATCCAGACGCAGAGGTTGCAGAATCTGTTTAGGACACCATGGGAGGGAAGCTTTCTGAATCTCATGGAGAGTTAGAAACCAGTCTTCCCTTGAAAGCCAAGGAATCTGAAAGTCCAACTCCCATTTGTATCTCCAAAATCTTCCTTAATTTTCTGGTTAATGGTCCTACAGTGCTCTAATACTGAAGCAAATTACGCTGTGTAGGCTTACAAAGCTGGGTTGCTTACCGCCGTATCTGCTGCTCCTGTCTGTGCTGTTCTTAGAACTGTGGGAGAAAATGAGTTCTTACCATTAGTGAGGATCTAAATGTGTCCCTGTGTGAGCAGTTCCCAAGAAGTTTTGGAGCATTCTGTGAGGAAAGGTGCCTTTGGAATAAAGGAGTGCAGGCAGTCCTGGTGCTTCTACCGCAGTGATCTTTCTCTTTCATCCAATTAAGATGTTATGTTTTAATACATGTTTTTTAATCTTTGGGGGAGGAAAAAAAAAAACAACAACCTCAGTGGATAGAAGTATGGTATGGTAAGAAGAAGCTGTTACATGTATATGAAGAAAAGTCTCTGTAACAAAGCTATCTCATGGTAGCTGAGTTTGTCTTTCAGTAATTGTAGTTCTTGTGGTTTCAGTGGCATGTAGAGGCAGTGCAGGTCCATTTTGCATTTCAAGATTACAGCAGTTATAAGAAGCATTGAGTACTTGTACATGATATTTATTTACCTACGAAATTGAAGCAGCAGCCAGCAGTGTTCAAACAGCTGTAATGTCTGTGCTGCGAGAATAATTCATGTAGTCCAGGACAGGTTTCATATAGGAAGATTCATGTTCCTTCTGGAAACACCACTGTTTTAGCCTCATTTTCAGAGCAGTTACGCCTGTGAAAGACAACAGCATCCACTGTGTGAGGAATGGTGTTGTTCAGTAGTTCACCTGAAATGTGTGCCTGTAGAATTCCTTGGTAGTGTGCAAAGCGTGCACGTGCTTAAAGTCCTGCTAGTGCCACACCTCAGTTATCTGAGCATGTGGGTGATGTGGCAGCAGACCAACTCAGTGACTGATTTTCTGAGATAGCTTCAGTGCTATTTTACCTCAAAGGCCCCTGTATATATTTGACCTATTCTGAACTAATTTCCTGAAATATTTTACTACTTATACAATACAGATTTTGCACTGAACAGATGCAGAATTTATGCTGGCTGGCTGCTCTTCTGAAGCTATGATGTCAAGTAGGAACTGAGGTGAGTACTGAGTGCCCCCTGTGCCAGCCTTGTCATCTTGTCCTGCCCTGGATGGTTCTGTGCCTGCTCTGAGGACCTGGAAGGCTGCGAGGTGCCAGGGAGAAGCAGAGTTGTTCAATTGGACCTGGGTCTCTTTCACGGTCAGAACTCCTTTCCACTTCATTCCAAAGCTTTTGGCATGGTAATTTTACATTAGCAGTCACTGCATCTGCTTTGTCACCTGCTGAACACTTTTCTGCTGGCCTTTCATTAAAAATGGATGGACCAGGCTTCTTCTGGAACTGCCTGCACTCACCAAAGGCTTTGGCAGGGGCAGGACTTCACCAGCTGCAGCAGTTCTTGGCATTCAATCTGCAGAGAGCTCTCCTGTACCAACCAGTAGCGCCAAGGCTGTCTCAGCAAGAAGTGGCTTCTCCTACAGTGAGTGTATTCTTTTTTGTAGACATCCACTTGTCCTCACTGGATCACTTTGTAGAGAAATCTTTTCCCTCTCCTAGGAAACTCAAGCAAAACTCCCATTGACCCAAATAAGCAGCTCCAAGGAGAGGTCCTGTGTTTCCCAGAGGATTTGGCATCATGGAAAGTCCAACTTTTGTTCAGACTGATGGATTCCTTGGTAAATGTACACTGCAAGTTATGTTTTAAAAGGTTAATCAATACAGCTTAGAAATACTTCATTGTTTTTAAGTACAATTGAGACAGCACAAGTGTGAAAGGTATTGCTGCTTGGAGCTGTCAGTGCAGCACTGCCAGCACAGTGTGCATGGAGCAGTGAAAGCCGCCTTTGGCCATCAATAGTCTTGCTGAAGTGTTTCCCACTATTGGACATTCTTTTTTTGCAAAAGCTGCTTCTGACCTCATCCTGCAAGCACACAAGTGTTTGCATATCTTTTGTACTTATCGGTGCTAAATGCTGTCTGTCTGCTGAGTTCAGAGATGCAGGCATGGGCTCAAACACTGAGAGAACTGGGATTTGGGGTCACAAAATGGAAATTGTGCCATATATAAGCAGCTGGCAATTAGTGTCACTCATTGAAGTAGATTACAGTGGCCTGTGAGGCACAAGAAGGAGCATAGCACGGCTTTAAATATGTGTGAAGTTTTAGATTGTATATCCTATATTTATTTGAAACGTGAAATTTGCACAGTTATTTATGCCACGGATGAGTTGCACCTAGTAAAAAATAAATAAATTGAAATCCTGAAAAAAATCAATCTTCAAATTAAATCTCTATGTTCATTTTGTTAGCCTATGAGACAGTACTCTGATATCCTGCTGCAATACACTGTGACTACAGAAGTTACGTATGTTTATGAAAAAATGGACCAGTATATCAAGTTAAATAGAATGTATGCGCCAGGGAAAATTATCCTGGAGTATTTGTCGATGGCGTGGGTGTCGATCCGCATGCTGACGTATCTCTGGTTTTTCCTCCTGCCCGAGCCCCTCTCAGACCCCAGTGCCAGCTGCACCATCATTCTGTCCTGCTTGTCTCCGTTCTCGGACACGTAGTGCCCCAACTCGTTCACGTCACCGTCGTTGTAGCTGCCGTCCATCATCATGGGCCTGGGCTGAGGAAGGCTGCACGCACAGGGGAGCTGTGGGCACAGGCAAGGGAAGAGCATTCTGGAGTTATGTTCAGATATGCAAGGACAGCCCTTTACTCCCTGTGAAAGCAGAGGGGGGACAAGCCTGAGGAAGTGAGATGGTAGGGTATAGAAAGGACAACGAGGCAGTGGAGTGGGCAGCAGCTTTTGGCTTCTGTTATTTCACATCTGCTGGACACAACATAATCACAGAGAGAACAAGGCTGTCTGTGGGAAAGTTCCTTTGGTTTAAGCATGAGTACCAGGACAAAAATAAAACAGTACAGCGACCTGTACTTAGAAGCTGAGAAATTCAGAGAAGGCGGCAGAGGGGAGCTCCAAGGAGAAGTGTATCAGGTTTGCCCATATGAAGAAAAGAGCCTAGGCTGAAATTTTGGGCAGTTACAATTTAAGGTAATGAAGGCAAAAGGGGGAAATCAGACCATTGTGTATAAGTCTAGGGCTATGTGTGAAGGGATATAATGCCCTCAGATCTTGAAGAACAAACGGCTAACTGAGATGCTGGGTATCTGTAGCAAACCTTTATAACCAGGAATGCTTCATTGCAGGTGTCTTCTTGCCCCCACTGTATTTTCTCAGGGCATCCAAGAGCAACACATTGCAGGTTTAAACTTCTGCACACTTCTAGATATTTGCCTCACTTTTTCTCAATGGCATAAAACAGTATCTTAGAAGGCAAAACTCACCTTATCCCGGAGTTTCCTCTCCTTTCTCTCTTGCACTGTGGTCAGGTAATTCACTGCTGCATATTCCAGCACTGAGAGGAAGACGAACACAAAACTGACCCACAGGTAAATGTCCACTGCTTTGATGTAGGAAACGCGGGGCATGGAGGCGTTCACCCCAGTGATGATCGTAGACATGGTCAGCACGGTGGTGATCCCTGGGAACACAGCAGCAGAGTGATCCTGTAAGGTTTGCTCAACCTAAACTCTTCCTCACAAATTACCTTTTCCTGACACCCAAGCTGACTTTTTCACATTGGTGTGGGGGGTTTCACTGCCCAAGGAAGGTCTTTCTTATTTGGGTTTCTTGTATTTTCTGTGAGAACAGCTCTAATTCTGATTGCCCACCACACCACTGCCTCCATCCTATGGTAGGCAGCAGAGCTTTGAGCCTGCACTACCTGTGTCCTATTACCAGGTGGAGGGCAGTCCAGTGAAAAGCACAAATATCACAGCTTGTAGTTCAGCTCCTCCAGCGGCTGCTTCCACCAGGTTCCCCAAGGCTTGTGTGCTCCATCTGCCCCAGAAAGTCCTGCTTCATGGGAAGTCATCAGTCAGCTCCCATGTTTGGTGTCTTCCTCTCAGGGACTAATGTGGCCCACAGGGCAATGCTGTCATGCATTACCCTGCAGGTAGGTGCTATGAACCTGCCAGGAAGAGCTGAGCCCCCATAGTTTAGTGTTATTCAGGCTCCTCCTATCACAGGGGCTAATTATGGCATGTTAATGATTCCCTTGAAAGTTGGAATGACATATTTTAGAAGTGCAAAGAGATGTACTTCTTTCTGTCTGACAAAGAAGAGCCAGGGAACACAGATGCTTTAGGAAGCAACAAGGAAATATCTGCTAATCTAAGTCCTATATCTCAATGTCTTTCTTGTAGTGAGGGGCCCAAAACTGAACACAGTACTCAAGATGGTGTCCCTGCAATGCCAAGTACAGAAGGGCAATCACTCTGCTCCTGCTGGCTGCACTATTTCTGATACTTTGCCAAGGTGCTGTTGGCTTTCTTGGCCACCTGGTCCTGTTCAGCCAACTGTAAACTAACACACCCAGATTCTTTTCTTCCACACAACTTTCCAGCCATTCTGCTCTATGTCTATGCATGGAGTTGCTGTGACGAAAGTGCAGGACCCAGCATTTGGTCTTGTTAAAGCTCATACAATTGGCCTCAGCCCAGCCTGTCCAGAGCCCTCTGAAGAGCCTTCCTTCTCTCAGGCAGATTGATGCTTCCTCCCAACTTCGTGTCACCCGACTGAGGGTGCACTTAATGCCCTCATACAGGATAAAACAGGACAGGCCCCTCTACCAACCCCTTAAGATCACCACTCATGTCTTAACTCCATTCACCACCACTCTCTGAACCTGGGCTTCCAGCCAGTTCTTTACCCAGCAAAGAGTGTACCTGTCCAGCCCATGGGCTGCCAACTTCTGTAGGAGAATGCTGTGGGAGACAAAGTCAAAGGCTTTGCTAAAGTCTAGGTAAGTTACATCCACAGCCTTTCTCTCAACCACCAGGTGGATCACCTGGTTGCAGGAGATGATATTGATCAAGTAGGACAGGCCCTTCAGGAACCTGTGCTGGCTGAGCCTGATCCCCTGGTTGTCCTGAACATGTTGTGTGAGCTCACTCTCAAGATGATTTACTCCACTCTACTGAATACTGTGAGGATATTGTTTGCTACAGTAAATTTCACAATGTGAAAATGACAGATGAGAGGAGTCTCAGGAGTTCTAAAATTCTACCTAATTGAAAATCAGAATAAAATCAGATGCGACACAGAATGTAACAAAAAACAAGACAGTAATGTTCATAGTGCTCTCAATTTCCTGCATGAGCAGAATTAATATACAGTATTGATAACTATGGCTGTGAAATGGGCTGGGATGACATGTCAGCCCTGAAGCCCTGGAGAGGAGGCTATAAAAACTGAGACCCATGAAACATGGAATAGAAACTAAGTTAAAGGGAAATAAATCTAAAGCTCTGCAAACAAAACTTCAAGAACAGAGAAATGAGTTATGAAAAACAGCATTAACCCTAGGCATTCCCAGAGCAGTGATGCACTGTCTACTTACTAGTATTATTTGGAGTCTAACTGAGGCATTCCAAAAATGAGGTAGCAGTGAAGGAAAGGAGTACATTTTAACTCCCCTGGTGCCAGGCCCAGAGAGGAGCAAACTCCTTTGCCCCACTTAGGGAGGAATTGGAAGGCCAGAAGTAAGAAAAATTTGTGCACAGAATGCATAAGGCCTCCCTGCTGGAGCAAAAGCTTATCCATAAGTAAGTAATAATAGTCTATTTCCACATGTATCTATATATGTATGTGTATGGGTACATGCATATATATTAATTCCAACTGTTCCTCAAGAAAAATGGGTGAAGTCTTTTTAATAAATACAGCAGAACAAATGTTAACAGGAAAACAACCAGATGCCAAGAAGCTGAGCATGAGATCTGGATGGCAAAGAGTTAAAATTAGTGGTTTGAATACCAGATGCCAAGAAGCTGAGCATGAGATCTGGATGGTAAAGAGTTAAAATTAGTGGTTTGAATGGAGTGCATGTTATTTGCCAGGCTGCCATGGCCAATTTATTGCTTCCAGACAAGAAGCACATGTTGACTATTTGCTTGCAATTTTAAACTGCCATGAAAAATATTACTGATTTCAATGTTTTAAACAGCCAACTTTGGCACCAGGTCCTTCAGCTCAAACATCAATCTCTGACCCTGGTAAGAACAGGGTCATGCACACAATTACAGTGCCTGTGTTTCTCACAGTCCCTGTACTTTCTAATTCAGAATTATTAGTGTACCACAGCACTCATTTTCTGTTGTGACACTCGGTGGAATTTTTTAAATCATTTGATTTGGAAAAATAGCAAGCTATCTCTTTCCCTCACAACCATGTGTGCTGTACATGCTGAATTTTGAACAGTTTCACCCCCAAGAGATGTGAAATTGCACCAACATAATATTACACAGCAACTGGAGGAACAGCCCCTCAAAGGATGAGGATAGCAGCAGCAGTGCAACCAATTTAACTGCTTTTAAAGAGAGAACAGTGATACTCTGTATAGACAAAAGTCCTTTTACCTTTCATTTGGGTAGTTGATCAAATAGATCAAGAAAATAATCAACACCATTGCAGCCAGGAACGAGAAGTTAGTGATGCAAAACATACAAGTAGTGCACAATAGATTTTATTACTTTTTAATGGGGTAGGTAATCATTTCGGAATCTCCCCACTAGAACAAGTCTTCTCTTCCAGCACTCCTCAGGATGACAAAAGTGTGATGTTCATGACATTCCAGACATTAGTAATGTTACTTTTCCTAACCTGTGATCAGACAGCGTGGGAGGGGCTATGAACCCATGCCTGTGTTGAGTATAATGGGAATACGGAAGTGAAGTCTAAATCAAACTTAAACTCTCTTTTTTTTTTTCTTTTTATTTTTTCTTTTTTTTTTTTTTGTAGCTTGCCTCTGGACTCACCATAGTGGGAAGTTATCATTTACGTTAAAAATGTGCATTACTAAATTCAGTACAACAACATCTGCTTCTATTGTAAAGGATAAGAAAATTCTATCTCCACAAATTTCTGAACTTGGACTGTAGGTGATCATGATGGATTGTTGTCTCCTACATGAGCCGAACCACTCTTGCATGTTAATATCTCTACAATCAAACCAACTTGTTCACCATTCCTGAGCATGTCCTATGCCAGGTGATTGGCATAAGGAGGTGACCACACCACCACTCTCAGGAGAGAACGATTGACTTCAGCCATGGGGTGGATTGTGTTGGTGCAGCCCCCTACCCGCCTGTGATCTCAGGATAAGGCAGCACTGTGCTCCTGTCTTCGTTACAAGAGCAGGAAGATGGAATGATTGGCCACCTGCAATACCTGCTGCCTGGATTGTAGTCCAGTCTATAACGTACCAGATCTGGATGGTCTGGGAAGGATTGGAATTGTTCGGCTGGTGGAATGTTCCAGAATTATCTCAGCTGCCTTGTGTCCAGAATGAAATGTCACTGAATGAAGACAGTCAACTTGTGGACCTATAAACAGAGGTCCTAAGCAAAGAGCCCCTTGAGCTCTCCAGGGTCACACTGGACTGTGATACTTAATGTCCTTCTGAGCTGGGATACCTCTTAGGACAGACCCCTCCAGGATTGAAGCTCATTCACTGACAAAAACCAGTGAGAAAGAAGGGTGAGTAGTTCTCCAAGGGGGAAATCTTCGGGTATGCAACAGAGTTTAGAACCCCCCACTACCCTGCAATAAGCCTCACATCACCCACGCTATTCTTGAATCTTTAACCAAGTCACACTTTCAATTGTAGCAAAGTCTGTTGAATGATGGTTTTAAACTGGCTGATGATAAAGTATGGACAAAGTGATGTCAAGGATCATACAATCTAACTTGTGATTTATATAAAAATATTAATAAGTCCTAAATTGCTAATAAATCAAACCTACGCAAAAATCTATTCATGACAGTGTGTTCGCAACCCAGAAAGCCAACGGTAATACTGGGCTGCATCAAAAGAGTTGCAGCAAGCACATCAAGGGAGGGGGTTCTCTCTACTACACTCTCATGAGACTCCATCTGGAGTAATGTGTACAGCTTTGGATGTCCTCAGCATTAGAAGGACATGGAGCTGTTAGAGTGAGTCCAGAGAAAGGCCACAAGGATGACCAGAAGACAGGAGCTCCTCTCCTGTGAAGAGAGGCTGAGAGAATTGGGATTGTTCAGTCTGGAGAAGAGAGAGCTCCAAGGAGACCTTAAAGTGGCCTTCCAGTACCGAGAGGAGGCCTACAGGAAAGACTGGGATGGCCTTTTTCATGGTCTGATAGTGACAGAGCAAGAGGGAAGAGTTTTAACTAGAAGAGGGTACATTCAGATTAGATATTAGAATGAAACTCTTAGAGTGTAAGAATTCCTCTCTGGGGAAATGAAGCACAAGAACAAGTTGCCTGGAGAAACTGTGGATGCACCATCCCTGGAAGGGTTCAAGGTCAGGTTGAATGGGACTCTGGGCAGACTGATCTGGTGGGTGGCAGCTCTGCTCAGAAGGGTGAAGGGGTGGAGCTAAATTATAAGATCCTTCCAATCCAATCCATTCTATGATTATATGACTCCACAATTTTATGTTTCTATGTTTATATGATGAATAACCATAAAGGACTGAATTCACAGGAGCATTCAGAAAAGTTCTCCTAAACTCAGTGCCTTTATCTCAAAAAGCCATGGCACAAAACTTTTAGTTCCTGCTGAATTATGATTCATGGCAATGGATGGTGATTCTAAGCAGACATGTGGTCTGTTGCTGTATCTGTTATTAATATTTCCTCTCCAACTATGAACATAATTTTTACAATAAATAAAACTCTGAGATGTGTTCCCTGGAACAAATGGAAGCAAACCTGGGCTTCAAGTCTGCAAATATACAAATGGCATTTTGCAAAGGGCAAATAATCTTCTTCAGAATGTTTATGTCAACAACATAATTGTGCTCCCATGGTGATTTCTCTGGCACATGGCTTCATCTGCTTGAAATGTGTTTCAGAAGGGGATGCTGTATCCCTCACACTACACTGTAATCTAATTTAACAAGTTGAACAAGTAAGGTAGGCTTGCTGTTTTACTTCCACACACTCTGTGCTAGAAAAGCTCAATAAACTGAAATGTTGTCACAGCTGTTCTGTAATGTTTTCCACCTTCTTACTCACTGAAGCCTTTGAAGGATACTGGTACTTCATTTCTCTATGTCCAATGCATCTGTTAGCAGCAATAGAAGCAGAGCTTGACATTTGCTCCCTGATTTGCAACATATACAACTAGCACTTGTCAGAACAGGAAAGGCAGTTCACTTCGCACTGCAGGGCAAATGGAGAGAGAGATGAGAGTAAGACCTCAGCACAGGGAGAATGTGTGTCACAGCTGATTTCTGTGCCATCAGGCAATGAAGGGACAACACAGAGGCAGTGCATAGCACCGGTGATTTTGTCTTGGTGGTCAAAACCATCATTGCATACAACTGGCCTTCAAGTGTGCTGACTACAATATTGTTTTTACCTAAAGGGACTCTGGCAGGAACTGCTCGACGGTCAATCCAGAAAGACACCCAGGACAGCATAACCATGAGAGTGGCGGGGAAATAGGTTTGGAGCAAGAAGAAGAAGATGTGTCGACGCAAGGTGAAGTTGATGTAGAGGCGATTGTACCATCCTGTGGAATAGGGAGAAGGAAAAAGAGAAGTCACACCACCACCAAACTACTTTCAGATAAGGTGTTATATCAGTGGGAATAGCACCATATTTGCTTTTAGGAAAAGAATTAATCACATATCATTGCAGTTTACAGAAGAGGCTCCTTACTGAACCAACTATCATACTCACAACACCTCTCAGGATCACATCTTCCAGAGATGATAATACAAGCTGTACATGCAGGGGTTGTAACTCACCTTAAAGTTTGGTGTGCTCTTGAAGAGGTATTGTCTTTCCAGACTATCTAATCTAATGATAGAAGTCTAAAGATGGAGTGGCCAAGAACATAAGTCTGCAGCTCTTTCCCCTGGCCTCTGCTAGGGATTCTAGTACCCACCTGTGCTGCTATAAAAGGCAAGTTTTGTGGTAGTGTGGAACTCCTGTATCAGGAATTGGGACAGCGATATCCTCTCATCTGTTTTTAGGGAATCATTTCCATTCTTCCAGTAGAGCATGAGGTCATCTTCTGTGTAAGCATCTAGGGAAGCAGAGCAAGCCTCAGTGCAGTGCAGTGAGCCAGCTACTATAGCCTAAGTTGCGTTCACACACTCTTCCAAGGCTACCTATGAGCTTCAGCTGAAAGGGACAGTGCCACTGTTTGACTGGAATCTGCAGCATTGGTGAGTATGGCTGCAGCAAAAAATGAACAGGCTCATCATCACAGTGCTCAGTCCTGATGATGCATTTTGTAAATATTTTAGTTTCTCTTACCTTCACTTCACACATATAATCAGATATAATCAGTATATCAGGTTACCCACCACATCAGAAATTGTACCATTCTAAAATCAGAAGCAAAGAAAGAAGAGGAAAGAGGGTAACAGGAGGAACAAGCTATTATCAGTGGTCTGAGGTGTGCAGAAGGACAAACTCTTGAGCAAACCTTCTGTCTATAATGCATATATGAACATTACAGGTCTTGTTTTTTTAATGCATATGGAAATATAGTAATGTTGATCCTTTCAGATGGGTTTTAATAATAGCCTTTCCCAGACAGAGAGGAAAAAATATTCTGTAATAACTTTATTAAAATATAACTAAGATTATAATTGTGTATTTCAGACTTAAGAAGGAGAAGAAACAACTCTTAAAAAGCTAGAAGTTTGAAATGTAGTTGTAAAAATGCAGGACTATTTTATGTAAACCACACCTGGGAAAAAGCAGTTCTTAGTAAGCTGGGTTTGTCACTCACGGATGTAAGAAACACCAAGGGAAGGTGATCGGCTTGGCGGCTCCATTGTGGTTCCTAAACCACAGATGAGCAGATGTGCATGGGAAGGGCACAGAGCCATTTTTTTCTGTGTTAAGAAACACAGAAATGTTGATCCTTTCAGCTGGGGTGCTGGGGAAGTGGGTGCTGCTACACACCTGCAACCTGTGGGCAAGTAACCCAGTGCCTTCTGGGGATAGGAATGCAGCAGAGCAGCCCAGCTGGATTGTGGGGACACTGGCAAAACAGCACTCACAGCTGGCATTTGCAGACACTGCCTTGTTGTACACACCATCTAATTCTAGATAAAAATTACAGGCAGAGAATTTTTCTCAGTGTTGAAGTTCTCTGGCTATAGTTGGAGCCCTCATGAATGTAGCAGTTGCTGCTGGATATAATTAAACACCGTTCAGGTCCCCACAGGGTGCAGCACTCAGCTTCTCTGTGGCTCTGCTTACTTACAGCTTTCAATCTCCAGGGAGCACGTCTGTGTATCCAGGGGAAAGCGACTAAAATCCATGTTGCACATCGCTGTTACTGTAACCCTGGGAACAATAAAATCCACCTCATTAAAAACGGCTTTGTGTGACTGAAAAATAGTAAAGCTGCAAGATGATTTTGAGTGACTACTTGGTCACTGTAAATAAACACCTTCCATCTAGCTAAAGACATTCTAGTGAAGTTAGAGCTATTTTTTCTTCACAGCAAACCAGTGTTAAAAAGGGGGCTAGAGAGTTTGGCCATAATAAATTGCTACCAAGCGATACAAGTACTGGAAAAGAAAACGAGGAAGAACAGAGAGAGGGCACTTTTTCCCTTTTGCCATCAGATCTCTGCAGAGATCTGTGCTTTCAACAGCTTCTTTGCACAGTGGAGTAATTTGGGTTTGTCAAAGCCCAGTGCCGTGCAGGATGTGGGCAGTTTTCTCCATGCACCATGACCTCCATCGGCTCAGTGAAAGCCCGGTGATCGCACATGGGTGTCAGCCAGCAGAGGGCTCACCTCCAGTCAGGGCTGGAGCTGACGCACATCCAAGACCACTGAAATGCTCCACCTCACCTATCAAAAACCCCGGTCCCAATGTAGTCTGATTACGTCAATTTTAATAGCAGAAATCTGTGTTTGCACTGGAAGGATCTGTAAGTCTTTACTCCACTAGCTTGAACTCTAGGGAAGTAAATGAATATAAAAACATAAATTGCAGTGGGGAAAGAATTAATGAATAATAACAGGATTAAAGCTCGACAGACAACTGTCACATAATGATAAAATCAAGATGCAGTCTCTTATGTTAGTACTCCTTATGCATGTCTGGGTTCACGTTGCTTCCCTATCCAGATTTTATCTTAGAGTGAAGCTGCTTGGCTCAGATTTACTGCTTAGGTGCCAGCGAGGTTTAGAGAGCTTTCCAAGAAAAGAGAAGATGTTTGGTAAGAGTTTTAAAAAGGCAGACAGCAAGGAAAAAAATAAAATGTACAGGCAAAGGCATTCAGAAAAGGCTCTCAGTTAGCAAAGACATCTTTGTTTTTAAGTATTCATATTTCTCTTCCAACCATAAAGAACTTCGGCCCGCAGTGACCAATAAATAAAATACTGAAGAACTGTCACCCTGTTATTCGAGATGTTCACTACCATTTCATGAAGGCCAGTTGAAAGTAGCCTGTTAAACGTAAGTCTGTATATGGCAGCACCTGTGTAGTTTGATATTCCTTCCCCATCATTGTTAAATAGCCAAAACACTTGCAGTGTAGATCATGTGTAGCATGTAGCTGTAGTTGAGTTTTATGTCATTCTATTGTCATTTTGTTATTGTGCTAAGGGTCTGAGCAAACTTTTCAAAGACACGAAGAACACCCGAACCATGTTTAATACACCGGAAGAAACAAAAAACTTTAGTAACAATAAGATTAGCACTATCCAGGCTGCGACTCCCAACAAATAGTATAAGAATATCAGAGAAACAAGAAAATTTCTGTCAAATAGTTACTACAAAGGACTTTGTGCCTTACTTTTTTTGTACTGTTTCCTTTTGTAAAAGGAAAAATACTTTGTCAGGCTGAGGAGTAAAGCTCAGCCCTACCTCCACCACTCCTGGAGGTTATTAATGTGCCCTCAAAGACCTCCACAATCATCCCAAGCGACATGTTCTAAAGCCTTATCATTAGTTAAAGTTAAATCTATGCTTCTTGGTGCTACTGACCTCCTGCAGTCAGATTTTCCTTCTTTTTGTCCTTCAGAATACATTATCTATCTGTTGTTTGGCTTATTTATCGCATGTTTTGCTATTTCATTGCTATGGAGCTGATGTTGACATTCTTGCATCAGAATATTGTACAGCAATTTCCTCTCTCATAGGTTTTTATGGGTCATTTGGCAACACTTGTTTTGTAACTGAATGGAGCTGCAGGCATGAAGAAGCAGCACTGATATTAGTTTCTTTTGGAGAGTGACAGATGATCCCGAATTAGCATCTCCACATATGAAAGCAGCAGTTAGGAAGAAGTTTTAATAATCTTCAGTCTTATGGTCAGTAATGTTCAACTCCTTGGTGAGGCATCTGATTTACATTTGAAACTTGAGATCACTGCTATGGAAAAGAGGGAAGGGGAAGGGAAGAGATGGGACACAATCTTCCTAGGAATTAAGCTCCAGTCCTACTTCTCGCTCTGCTTACCCAAACCCCCCAGCTGTTCTCCCTGAACATATGAGCATTTTTCTTATGATAAAGGAAGAGCCTCTTCCTCATGATGTAAATGGCTAGTCAATGCATTCACATTTTTACTTTTTTTTATTGTGAAGTCATGTGGAAATGAAATACACGAATCAATTAAACCGCTCTCTCTCTCATACCACTAATGGCTCACACTGACCAAATGCATTTTTACCTGAGGCTATAAAGTACCTTCCCATCTGGCTGGACCCGCAGCATGACATTGTCAGTGGTGGTGTCATGGATGAAGGAACGTTTGGAGTGGACAAAGAACATGTCAGGGACCCAGATCTTCTTCACCAGCCTGCCGTCAAATGTCATGCTTTGGTTGTTGGTGCTGGGGAAGGACAATCTCTCATCTTTCCAGTAGTGCCTCAGATAAAGTGTCATGGTGAAGTCCTGCAACAAAAAGGTTTGTGTCACAACCCATGCCTTATCAGCGTAGCAATGATTTCTCTTCTCTAGTGCAAACTGCACCTTACAAAGCACTGTTCACGAAGGCACATCCACTCTCTAAGATGGCAGGGAACATGAGTTAATGTGTTCAGAAATCAGACACCATTCATCCAGAGGCAAATTTATCTCTGAAATCAAACATTTTCATTTTGGTGTCTGTGAGTCACTCCAGGGACCAAAAGGGAAATACACAGAGGCAGCTGTCAGCAATGAGCACTACCAACAATTTAACCCATCATCCCTACAATGCTGCATTTCTGGAGTTGAGAACAACTGCTCCAGCAGCTGCTATAGCAATGTTCTTATTCTGGACAGCTAGAGAAGTGCTGCAGAGAGAATTCTTCCTCCAGTATAGCAAATGATATGCTCAGTATTTGAATGAAATGTTTTATTTTGCTCTTAGGCTCCCCAGGGAGATGGCTCAGTCACCACCCCTGGATGTGCTTAAAAACAGTCTGGATGTGGTGCTCAGGCACATGAGCAGAGGGTTGTTAGAGTTAGGGTAGTATGATTAGGTTGTGGTTGGACTTGATGATCTTTAAGGTCTTTTCCAACCTGAGCAATTCTATGATTCTATGATTCTGCCCACATACTGCGCATTCTAGATGTAAGGTATGATCATACTCTTTTTACTCTATTGTATTTTGAGTCTGATCCCAGTAGGGCATCTGCTTGGGTTTGTCTTTTTACTTATTTCAAATAAATTGATCGTGTATCTAATGAAAAATACATGCACAAGTTTTTATAAGCATGGTATCTTAGAATGTAACATAATACATTGCCCTTAATCTAAGGGAAGTTTATCTAACACCTGTACTTGTGCAAAGCATTTGACACTGTCCCACACAAGAACCTTATCTGTACACTGAAGAGACATGGATTTGACAGATGGACAACTTCAGTGGGTAAAGAATTGGTTGATGATGGCACTCAAAGAGTTATGGCCAACAATTTGATGTCCAGGTAGATATCAGTGAGCATGGTATAGGACAAGGGTTAAAGGTTTTAAACTAAGAGGGTGGATTTAGATTAAATATTAGGAAAAGGTTATTTACCATGAGGGTAATGAGGCACTGAAACAGCTGAAACATGCACACAAAGCAGCTGCCCTGCACCAATTGTGCTGCCATACAACTGTGCTCCTCACTTAACCAAGGAGGAGGTGAGGTGGGTGCTCGTAAGAGTACAGAGATGTCTGAGCTTTCTGTGAAAGCTTCAGAGCTGTTCAATGCATTTGCTGGAGCAGCAGAACAGTTCTGAAAATATTTTATAAATGGAGTGTGATTTTTTTTCTTCCAAAGCTAAAGCATAGCTGCTTAGAGACCCTCGAAATGCTTTAACAGGGCGAGTTGGTTACAGGGCTATCTCCCATTCTCCTTCTGTGTTCCTGCTCTTTGGTGTGGGCTGTTGTTGTGTCATGCCTGCATGTAAAATATTCCCATGGAAAATCTCATGCAGAGATCATGCCTTACTTTCAGCAGTGTTTTATGATGATGAAAGCCCCTCCAGCAGAATCCAGAACGCTTAAACAACATTTGAAAACTGTTTCCACCTTACCAATTATATGGTAGCATAAGAAGGACAGAGACTCAGTAATGAAATCAGCCTGTGCAGAGTGGCAGCACTGGACCTGTGTGCTCCTGAAATACTACTTCAGCGTCAACATGAAGGTTCAGGATGGACTCACAAAGCCTTACACCACACAGTAGGGGTGGCACAACTGATGCTGAGCCAAAAGTGGTCTCTGAGGAAACTTCTGTCCTCTGAAAACTCTTGCCTTCTTACAACTACACACTTCCCAGTGAGATGGGAAGCTCACTGAAAGGGTTAAACCTTCCTCTGAAGTGAGGGGACATTGAAATGTCGGGTATTTCTGTTCTCATGGTGTTGCTGCCATATGACAAGTATGCTCTCACCAGGGTAGTTCTCAGGACAGATTCTGGCTGGGACCAACCTCTCCCCTGATCATTTCAGAGCATGGCCAAAGTGAAATCTTATCAGCAATATATCAGAGCACCCTAAGCCTAACACAGTAATTGGTCTCCTCAGAGCTTTTACATGCTATCACTTCTCAAGAAAATGTAACAACCCAAATCCTTTGGGGCAGTTTTGGCAGTGTTCTATCACTTTCTTTCTTAGAGAAAAGAAAATGTCAGATTAACTTTCATTCCTTTTCCTTTAAGACATTTAGAGGGATGAAAAGATGAGGTCAGTAGAAGTAATTGCCAGCAGATTCACTTCAAACAAAGTGCCCAGGAGACAGGAGTCTCCATCCAAGGAGAAATTCAAATCCAAAAGCCAGAGCCCCAAGCAACCTGCTCTATCTCACCCTACTCTCAGCAGGTTTAGGATTAGGTGGTTTCCAGCAGTCCAGTCCAGCGTCAGCCCTTCTGTGACACTTACCATATCCACCTCAGAAATGCTGTCCAGACTTTCAACTTGGACATCCACCCCTACAGGAATTGCAGGGCCTAGGAAAAAAAACAACAAAACACAAAAGTTGAGGAAGTATAAACCTGATGAGATAAAGTTTTGGCATCTTAGAAAATAAATGTTCAGTCTGGAACAAAACAACAGTAAAACAATTAGAAGAAGCAATTGGAATTCATAACAAAAACCTCCTAATAACAATAAAATTCAGCAGTGAGAATGACCTCTTACTAACTTTCTCTTTTTATTGTTACATTCTACATCCCTTCAAAATTTAAAAGTAAAGTCTCTAATGGTCGAGGTTTTTGCTTGTCATACAGATGCCCACAGAGATCCTATGTGCATGGAGAGCAGAGATGGTACAGCTAAGGGCACGTGAGAGATTTACTCCAAATTTTCATCACTTTCTCTGCTCGCCTCTCAGGCTAATACCACCCTGAAAACTGCTCTGCATCTTTGGCTTTCACATCGCTCACGGCTTGGCTGTGGAAAGGGGAAGGTGCGGGGTAGGACTACACTACAGGACTCAGGTGTGTGCCATGGAGCTGAGGTCACATCCCATAATTGGGATTTTCTTCTTTTTTTTTTTTCTTTCCTCCAGACTTTGACTTGCCCCTCACGTACCTCTGGCAATTACAGTGCAGGAGAACTGACAAGATAAATAATGCTCACGTTAGTGGGTTGCTGTGAAACTGAAACCTTTTAAAATTAATTGAACATGTTGGTATTTGGTATATTGAGCTTTTAGCAAAAAACTTACTTTCATGAGAGTGTATAATGGTATCCTGGATTTGAATGACCATCTGTCAGCCAGAAAGGGTAGATAAATTTCATCATTCTCTAATCCACAGGCTGAAAGAAAGCATGTTCCCCTTCATCCTGTTCCCTTAAAGCTCTGGTTGCTGTACAGCACAGCCACAAAACTGTGAGCAAGCATTAGCACACAGCAGTCGAAATATTTTCTTTGGTGTTAGAAATGAAACAGCCAGGTCAGCAAACTTGGTATGTGATTTGATTATGCACACAAATTGCCACAGGAAGCCATATCTGTAGAATTTCCCCGTCATCCAGGAATACATGCAAAGTGTGTTTGGAGGTTTTATCAAAAGAAAGTGTCATTGAGTATCAGGAATATTACATTGCCTCTAATCATATCTCCACGACTTCAACTAAGTTGTTCGTTTTTCAAGGAAGAAGGTCATTTCACTGCACCACTATCCCCCCAAGCATGCTATGGATTTACAGTAAAAACACTAATTAGAGAAAGAAAAGGCTCTGCTCGTCCCTCTGCTTGTTGGCCCAACTTAAAGCTACAGTATAATGAAGTGATAGTGCAAAATAGGAACAGTAACAAATATGCAGATTGTGTACCTCCAAAACCTGGTCTCATGCTGAAGTCATGGTCATCTATTCGCAGCAGCTGTTCTGACTTTGTCAGTGGAGATTTGGTGATGTCAGGGCTTCGCTTTAGGATAGGACTACTAGGAAGAGAGAAACACAGCTATGAGCCCTTCACAGTTCATGGGAGAGATATTGACCCACTTCACTCCAGTCCAAAAATGAGAACCAGCTCATGTTCATGTTCTCATTAAGCCATAGCCTTGTGAATGCAGTGCTTGGCAGCATGTCATTACAAAATGGCCCCCATGCTCAATATGGAGCACTTAGGCATCTGTGATAGTTCTGACACACTGAGAAAACATTTGCTTTGTGAGTCTTTGTCTTTGTAAAATTACCTGTGCTTACAACACAGTTTGAATATAACAATTCAAATATATGTCCTAGAGAAATTACGTGTGTGGGTAAGTGAGGAAAAGGAAATAAGAGACAAGATTTCTGACACTGATTTCTGACAGGATGTGAGGCCAGGAATTAGGGAAAAAATATATAAAATAAGCTACTGGCTGTTGCCCAGGAACAAAATGGAGACAGGCTGGGAACCAGGCCAGGAGGCAGGCCATCCCCTAACTGGGGATAAACTGATTAGCTCCTGCTCCAGTTTTCTAACAAAGATAAAAAGGAGCATTAAAGACAAGAGAGCCAGGGATGGTCTTGCAAAAGCTGTTGGAGCTGCAGTGAGCACTGAGCAGAAGATGCTCTGCTTCTCTTTCAAGGCCATCTCTGAGGGCAAAAAGCATTGTTTGACTCCCCAGCACCTTGGCCAGGATGGGAGCTGTAGCAGCTCTTCTCAGCTACGCCATGCCTGTGAAGCCTTGCTGCACTCTGAGCAGCCACATGAGAGCTGCTAGGGCAGCAGGAGAGCTCAAAAACAGAGGAAAGATTTTGCTGTTTCTTCATCTGAAAAAAAGATGATACGCTCCAAGGGGTGTTTATCTGACTATGCAGAAGACGAGTCTGCAATAGATCAAAGAGACAGAGAACAACAAAGAAACTTGACAGGGAATATTTTCCTGTGATAAAACTCTTCATAAATGAGATTGCTTAACCGTGCTGTACTTCTCGTGCCTGTACTGAGGCCCACAGGCAGTGGTACCTCAAAATACCAACATAACAATCTCCTAACACAGACTGGACTACAGAGTATCTTTCAAAGATGCTCAGTCTCAATTTAATAATTTCTAGGGGTGATGAGTTGCCTACATCCATTGGTGAATTCTTCAAGTTGTTACTTATCCCAAAGGACACTTTAAAATGTGGTCCTCTCTTCTGCTTTAAGTCTGTTTAATTCAACCTCTTCCCATGGCACTCTGCCCCTATAATAAAATGGGAAATCTACAAACCAAAATAGTTTCTAATCTCTCTGTTAACAGTGATTATATATGAGTATTTTTCCTGTCTTGATGAAAAGCTCATTTTCCAAACATTGAATTGTTCCTATAGTTCCTCCTATTTGTCAGCATGCAGAAAGGAGTAGGTGAACAAAAGTAGTAAAGTAACAGGTAAAGGTACAAGAAAATAACACAGAAGTGTTTAACATCAAAAGGTTTGCCTAGGAACCTCAGTTGTCAGCCACTGGCATAGAAGAAAGGGAATTATTTGGACAGTGAACAGAGGGCATAATTCTGAGCTATGGAAAGACCTGTGGGATTGCAAACATTCATTGGGAAATGTTTATACCCAGCTGAGACAAGGGAATGTTATTACCAGGGCACTAGCAAAGCCTCGGACATTTGCGAGCAGTCTGGGTTGCTGATGCTCAGAACAGCAGTTTCTCCCTTACACATTCAGAGGGAAGGGTGAGCAGCATGATGGAGAGCCAGGAGATAGGAGATCCAAGGGAAGGGAAGGTGCAGGGCTCTGTGGGTGAGTCAGCAGAGGGTGAAAGGGCCAAACAAAACTGCAACGTCAGCTAAGAACAAATGTTAGGATTAAATTAGGGTCAAAATTAATGTCTCTAAGCAACAGGGCAGGAAGGCTCTGCTTTCCTTAAGGTGGGGCTGGAGAGAATGTTTCTTCCATTTGTGGCAGGGAGATGGTCCTTGTAGTTATTAGGGGTGAGATCTGGTCACTGCAAAGTCCCTCTCCTTCCTAGGCTTTTAGAGATTGCACATTGGTTCTCCCATTTCACACAAGGCGGTGAGCACACTCCCTTGCTCCCTGCTTTTGAGTGCAGTTATACATCATACATTTCATGGGGTTATTCATTCCAAAGTGCATCCCTCGCCCTTTGGGACCACGCACCTGATGACCATGCCTTTACTCACATGCATTTGGCATGTTGCCCAAATAGGCTGCTGGCCAACATTGTTTGGGATGATTAACCAATCCTACAATTATTTGCCTCCCCACTAAGCTTTATACTCTTTGTAAGCTTCACTAGCAACTCTTTCATGGGTTTTATCATCCTGTTACTCAAAAGTTGAAATAACAGCAGTTGATAATAGATTTCTTCACATTTCTGTTTTAAACAGCTTGCTTAGAGATAGTCTTCCACATACAATGAGATTCTGAGAAACCAGCGCCACAGTTTTTAATCTATTTATAATGGATATGTGATTTGTTTGCATGATACTACTATCTAGTGCTAAGGTTTACATGTATCTCCTGAGTATATATCAAATACTTCATGGATGCCTGACTCCATCATATGACCATTCTGGCCTTTGTCACATTTGCCAGCTTCCAACAACAGTTTCATCTGAAACATAAGGAGGATATTTTTTAGAATTACATTTCTAAACTTAATAGAAATGTATTAATATATGTGTAATAGAGCTTTTATTTTTAAAGTTTCCTTTTATATTTGCAGGAATAGCATTACTGGGAGACTTTTTGTACTTTCAACTTTTATTCCCACTTTTTATGGCTCTATGGGTTTTTATTTTTCCTGCCACTGAACTCAACTTCTCACTTTCGAACTATGCCTATGATATTGGGAATCACTTTTGCTCATCTTAGTTTTTTGGCTATGTCCTTATCACAGTGGCTCATTTTAAAAACTTGAAAACTCCTATAGAAGTATGAAGTCAGAAAAGTATGGAGTATAAGCATGAAGTGGAAAAAATATTTTTGGATTGAGTTGTGATTTTTTTTTTTTGTAAAAATGTGAGAAGATATGAATGGTGTTATTTATTTTGGATAAACTTGTAAAACCAATAATTTTTATTCTATTTTAGATGAAAAGAATGAGGATTTAATTTTATTGGTTATTGTTATGTTTTTTTTTCTCTTAGATTTCTTTTTTCCCTTCAAATTTTCTGTTTTCAACTTGGTGAAGAGGGACGGATATGCAATCAGAATAGAAAGGTGAAAACACTTCTATTCCACCAGAAGGCATGCAGAAAGCATGTTTAAATTTAAAGGCATTTCCTCTTGGGAGATGGAAGCTGTAAAATGTAGGTTATTATTATTCCAACTTAATTATCTTTTGTTGTTGTTTTTATACTCTTTACTGAAGTACAGAAAAATACAGACAATCTTTCAGGTAAAACAGTTGGATTTGTTGTGATTCTGCTAGATCAGTTTAAAACTGAGGTGGGAGAAATTTGGAGGACTTTTTAGTATGAAGTGATGCATGTCACAATCTTTTCTCTTCTAAAAAAGTGAAAGGTTGCCTCCCCCAGAAGCAACAGTGGAAGTCTCCTGGGGTCTGGGCTTTCCGGCTCTGGGAGCAGGAGATTTTCAGGGCATGCTGCAATTCTGCACCAGCTGGGTCTGTCTGAGCAGCTCCAAATTGTCAGGTGTCTGACTATGGCTGTGCTCCATGCCATGCTGGGCAAGTGCCAGTGGCCACAGCAGTGACCCTGAGTGGAGGGGATTATACCTGACCTAAATACTGCCCCATACCTGACACAAATCACGCAGCACTGCTGTGTGAAGCCAAGGGGCCATGCAAAACGATATCTAAGCATGGCTCTTCAAAGGGAATTTGGCTTCCTTCACGCCTCACTCAACTCTGCTAATGGCGTGAATCCTGTTTGGAATGTTTGTGCTAGATTGTTGTTTGGCTTTGGATGGTTTTGCTCCCCCTGCTTTGCTGACCCTGTAATGGGAAGCCTGAGGCAGTGGCCTTCACCTACCTGCCCTGCTTGTGTGCCTCGCCGTGGGCTTCTCGTCTCTGCCGCTGGAGTCGGCTGCAAGGAGACAACAAGAAAAGGGAGAGCTGAAACAGCCTGCTGTAAGGAGACACAGCTACCATCACTCAGTTTAACGATGCTGGGAGGAAAACATGCTTGGGAGGAAAAAACAGAAATCCTGCAGTGTTGCATTTTGTAGCTCTGGAGAGTGCTTCTAACCTGTTTTTACCTTTTCATCAAAGGTTGGTTAAAAGGGCTGCTCTTCTCACGGCCCTTTTGCTATCTGAGGAATCATAGAATTGTTATGGTTAGAAAGACCAACAGGGTCGTCCAGTCCAACCATGTCTGTGACCAGAGGGCAGAGACAGGGGTGGTTTTAGACAGAAAATACTTTGGGCAGCTTCTTCGGTGCTTGGATCCAGACATAATGCAGCAAAATAAGCAGAAAGGGTTTTGTTCTACTCAGGGAGCTGTGGAGGTCCCAGTTCTATCCCTCCATGTCACACCCCACGCAGGTTACCCAATGGCGTCTGCTGCATGGGGACCTGCTGTGTTAGTGGTCCTGATGGGACAAAACAACAATAAACCCTTTAAAGATGCAAACCCTGCCTTGTCAGCTAACGAAACAGAGCATCACGTTAACTCATTTGGAAGTCTTCGTTTTATCTTATGTAGGGAAAGATGTTTATAGGTGCACACATGTTGGCAAAAAAAAAAGAAATAGAAATAGAAATAGAAATAGAAATAGAAATAGAAATAGAAATAGAAATAGAAATACAGTGTAATCAAAGCTAAAAAAGAATAGGAAAAAGTGGGCATAAGCAGTTCTTTTTATGCACTGCATCATTCAACTAAGGCAATTGAATATTTTCATGAGAAGACAATCTCTGTAAAGTATTCCAGAGGAAAAAAATAAATACATTTTAGAATTTTGTGTTCCTGTTTTCGTGTTCTCTTGCAGCTGGCTCTCATGAGAGTCTCTGTACCTTTCTAGAGTTGGGACAATGTTTTATTTTATCATTAGAGCAAATAATGTTTCAGCAGAATAAGTGCTTGTTTGAGTAAAAATAGCATTTTAAACACTTAATTCTTTCAGCTGATTTTTAATTAAAAGTTAAAAAAAATTAGCTTATCTCTGAAATAAACACTAGCGCTGCTCAACTCTGCTAATGAGACTTTTTGCCCATTAACATACATTTCAGATCCCAATCTTGAGACTGGCAGAGTAAAAACTTCATTTGCAATCACTGTCACTATCAGAGTGCCATCACCCTGGGGTGAATGGAAGCCAAACATCAGGCTTCGTGGGCTGATTTAATCTTAGGCTGGAAACTCTCTGGAGCTAACAATGTTGTAGGAGAATTCATGTTGCTGCTGTTACAGTATTGTAGACAATCTCTATATTGCCCAGGCTGGTGGTGGGCACAGGACCCTGAATCACCCTGAAATGAAGCATTTGCCAGGTGAGATTGGTTTCTTGATGTAATCTGTTGTTTTTTGTAGAAGAGGGATGAAAATAAATCCACATGCAGACTCTCCTGCTGGGGAGCTTTTGAGCCATATAGTACCATTGCTTTTTTAAGTAGCAGCTTCTTTGGTGCTTGGACCCAAGCATAATGCAGCAAAATGCACTTGAAAATGCAAAATGCACTGTTTGGAGACTTCTACCTTCTTGGTATGCCCTTAGGCTGCTTCTGATTTGTCTTACTGCTGCACACTTCTTGTTTGGTGGCCATAAGAAAATAATATCACTTGTTTTGGGCAGCAGATTCTGAGGAAGAGCTGACCTACCTACATGACTTTAAGGTGCCCTAGTAAACTCTTTGCTTGTTGGTTGTAATGTTGATATTCAAACAGGGATGAAGTAATTCATCTTCTTCTTTTTTCTTCATTCCTTGTTGTGGAGTTGATCTCAGGCTTCATACTGGCTCTGACACTATCCTGACTGCTGAGGGAGCCCTCAAAGAGTGGCCATCAAGAATTTGTGGCCAAATCCTATCTATTCTCTGGCAAACTCATGTAGTTTCTTTTCAAGGTGATTCTCCACTGACCCTATACTAAACTTTATTTCTGTACTACAAACCAGCAAAAAAACCTCACCATGCTTCAGACACTGCAGGACTGTATTCATCTGTGCTTTGGTTCAGTTCCTTAGCTTCTTAACACCAACCTCATTCCATTTTCCCTGTCACAGCTCTGAGGTTAATGAGCTTGTCTCACTTTTCCACCTCCTCCTGTAGCAGAAAATCTTGTGTACCTATTGCCAGCCATTCCCCAGTTACTGTGATTGGAAGCCCTATATTTTTCTTCTCAATGCATAGCATTTCTGTTTTGCTTTTTGGGAATGTTCTGCTGATTTAGAGATCATCAGAAGCTACATTATGGAACCCAAGTAGCCTGCTTGCTTGGGCTATGAATCTGTTGAAAGCTGCAATGCACTTCCCAGAGCATTCACTGTCCCTGTATTTTTGCAGCACATAACTGCAGTCGGGAGTTTTGGGCCAGTCATTGCATACAGACTACTTGGTGCAACTCTTTGCCAATATGGCTACACAAATTGACCATAATGCTCTTGCCTTCATTTGGATTACAGGCTGTATTTAAAACTAATCAATAGCTGTAGAGGTAAAATATACTGAATAATCATAAAATCATAGAATGGCTTAGGTTGGAGGAGAAGCTAAAGATCATCTAGTTCCAATCCCCCTAGCATAGGCAGGGTTGCCAACCTTGGATCAGGCTGCTGAGGACCCCATCCAACTTGGCCTTGGGTGCCTCCAGGGATGGAGCATCCATAGCTTCTCTGGGCAGCCTGTGCTAGCACCTTACCACTCTCTGAGCAAAATAATTTTTCATAACATCTAACCTAAATCTACTCTTTTTTTGTTTAAATTGCTTCCCCCTTGTGCTATCAGAATAATGAACAGCCTTTTTTTTTTTTTTTAATTTCAGTGCTGATATTTAACTCCTAACAGCTATAGTGTCAAAAGGAATTTTATGGCTCTCTTGAAAATCACACTCTATGAAAAATCAATACTCTTCACTGCATCAGGCTGTTTTTATTCACAGTTCTCCCTGTTTTTGCTTTTTTTTTTTTTTTTTTGCATTGCAGGAGCAGCTCTCAGGCTCTTGGTGGCACCTGGATGATGCAGCCCCTCCAAAGTCATTATTGTCCCAGCAGGTACCCCCACTAGGTCACTAGGTGAGTAAACCTTAGGACTCCTAAAGGAGAAAACTTTCAGGAAAAGAGCTATACATCCTTTCATATACACAAGTCAAAACAAAGTTACTATTCAAAAGAAAAAAAAAAAAAGCACTTCTATTCCCTTCAACAAAGGAAAGAGAGCTGCAGAGTTAGGGATAGCCATGTCTGTTTTCAGAAGAGATGGTCCAAACACAACAGCTGATGGACACAGTAAGAATTTCCGAATGCCGTGCTTCAAAGCATGTGTGCCAAAGGAGTGCCAGCTTCACACTGTGTACCATACTACCCTCAATATTCCTCATCACTTAAATGGGAGCTTTTGAAGGGAACAAATTTGAGAGAAGTCATTACATATCCTTGCATCTTGGTTTGTAATTACTGATGCAGGACAGATTTCCTATATTTAAATGATACTATATTTTCTCTACAGGAGGCAATATACCTCTAGCAGACAGTGATCAATTTTGCACTCTTAGGATAATCTTACTAGGACCTGAGAGTATCTCTTCCTTGAGGAATTAAATCAAAACACAGCTTTTCTTCAGGAAAAAAAGCAAGGAAAAAGTGAAGGCAAATTGCTGAAATATATTATGGAGATGAAGAGAGGAAGGCTGCAGTGTCTTGGCTGCTAGCCCAAGGTGTGGGAGCAATTTCCACTTCTGTGACAGAACCAAGAGAAAGCTTGCAAATCTCCCTGTGCCTTGAATAATCACAGGAGCTGTCAAGGGGCTGTAGCATTTGGTTTACTGAGGCATTTACTCCTTCCTAAGTGAGTAGGGGTGTCCCCTCACCACGGAGCGGTGCTGGGTGGGGGTGCTGCTTGGCCCTGGAGATGCACTGCCCAGGATGGTCCTTTCTGGCTTGATTAATCTCCTTGGCATCCTAGAAGGAATGAAAGCTGTCCAGGAGGAAGAACAATTCTCCTGTAGTACTATTTTGACTTGAAAATGAGTTCAAACCTTTAGAGCAGGCTGGAGCTGGTGGTGGACAGGTGGTACAGCAGGCCTAGGGGAAGGCTGGGAGGCAGTTCAGAGCCCAGAGAAGTGCTCTGGGAAAGGAAGAAAAGTGGTGCAGCTAAACCAGGAGAAAGAACAACCAGTAACTTTGAGCAGGAAAAGGCAAACTTGCAGCAGGAGATAGCTGCATGAAATATAGACTGAATAAGAATCCAGTGGCATACGTGGCAAGAGATGGGATACACCATATAAAATATCAATTTCCAGGGGTAATGTGATGGAAGAACACTAACTTGTGCTTAAACTGGAAGAATGACCAGTTGTGAGCCGTAGAAAAGCAACTAAAAACTGAGGGAAGTTAATCACAGAATGTATTTTATCTTGGCACGTGGCAGCTCTTGTTTGCTTATAATTATGTTGGCTCTTATGTCCTGGTTAGTAGGTTTAAAGATGTCATAGAAATGTCACTTCTTGCTATGGTATGGGGCTACATCTTTGAAAAGAAGTGGGGAGAGCTGCTTTTTGTATTCACAACACAAAGCCTGAGAAACAGTGGGATTCAAAGCCATCTTATTTTTGAATAATGTAGAAAGTTCAGTGAGAATGACATTTTAATCCAGTATTACTAGAATACAGATAAACTGTAGAATTCAAAAATATCCTAAGGCAGAAGACGCAGAAGCATCCTTAAAGTTCTGTGCTTCCTTTTTTCTTTGGCTGGTCATGAATGTTTGCAAAAGTAAAAAATAACAAAGAAACTTAGTGATTATTCAGAAAAATGTCATGTCACCTGAGGTCTCAGTACTGTGCCTGAAGTGGCAAAAATAACATTTCCCTTGTGTAGCAAAAACTGCACCTACTGCATGTGCATTTGTTGGGTTTTTGAAGAAACACTG